CTACTGTCCTTTGGGATGTGACCATGGCTCACACCATTGCATGAGTCCTTGCTGTTTCTAATTGCATTCCTCTTTTGCTGTCTTTTGCTGTATTTGAAGAAGGTAAGGTGCAACTGGCTAATAGCACCAAGAAGCAGAACTAAGTTTTCAGTGTGGTTAAACACATCTATGAGGCAAGTTGATTGATTTATTTTGTTTCATTTATTTTTGTTGGAAAGTAAGATTTACAGATACAAGGACAAACAGAAAGAAAAATCTTCCATTTGCTAGTTCACACCCCAAGTGGCTGTAACTGCCACAGCTGAGCTGATCTGAAGCCAGGAGCCAGGAGCTTCTTCCAGGTCTCCGACGCCAGTGCAGGGTCCAAAGGGATGGGGCCATTCTCCACTGCTTTCCCAAGTCACAAACAGGGAGCTGGAAGTGAAGTAGAGCAGCCAGGATACAAATCAGTACCCATAAGGGATCCTGGAATATGCAAGGTGAAAACTTAGCCACTAGGCTACTGTGCCAGGCCCAAGTTGGTTCATTTGTAACACCTGAATTGATTTGAAATCTCTGGCTTTAGATCTCTAAAAATAATAAATTAAAAAATTTTTATTTAATTTTTAAGATTAATTTTAAAATTATTTTTAAAAGATTTATTTACTTTTATTGGAAAGTCAGATATACAGAAAGGAGGAGAGACAGAGAGGAAGATCTTCAGTGCAATGATTCACTCTCCAAGTGACCGCAGTGGCAGAGCTGAGCCGATCTCAGGCCAGAAGTCACGGGCTTCTTCTGGGTCTCCCAAACGGGTGCAGAGTCCCAAAGCTTTGGACCATACTCAGCTGCTTTCCCAGGCCACAAGCAGGGAGCTGGATGGGAGACTGGTCCACTGGGATTTAGAACCAGCACACATATGGGATCCCATAGCATACAAGACTAGGACATTAGCTACTAGCTACCGTGCTGGGCCCTGTTTTTTGCTTTGTTTTAAGGAGATACAAAGAGAAAAAAAAAATGTAGGGACAAAGCCTCGGGACATTGCCCTCACATGGGAGACCCAGAGCAAGCTACTGCTCAGCTCAGCTCTAGCCATTGTAGCCATTTGGGGGAGTGAACCAGTGGACAGTTCTTTTTCTGTCTCTCCTTTTCTACATAAGTCTGATCTACCTTTCTGATAAAAAAAAAAAATCAATAAATCTGAGGTCTGACCCAGTAGCCTACTGACTAAAGTCTTTGCCTCAGGCCCGGCGCAGTGGTCTAGTGGCTAAACTCCTCTCCTTGAACGCGCAGGGATCCCATATGGTCGCCAGTTCCAATCCTGGAAGCCCTGTTTACCATCCAGCTCCCTGCTTGTGGCCTGGGAAAGAGGTTGAGGATGGCCCAAAGCCTTGGGACCCTGCACCTGTGTGGGAAATCCAGAAGAGCTCCTGGCTCCTGGCTCCGGACCGGCTCAGCTCTAGTTGTTGTGGTGACTTGGGGAGTCAATTATCGGACAGAAGATCTTCTCCATCTCTCCTTCTCTTTGTATATCTGACTTAGCAATAAAAATAAATAAAATTAAAAAAAAAAAATAAAGTCCTTGCTTCGAATCCTCCGGCATCCTAGATGGGCGCCAGTTTTAATCCTGGCTACTCCACTTCCCATCTAGGTCCATGCTTGTGCCCTAGGAAAGCAGTTGAGGACGGCCCAAAGCCTTAGGACCCTGCACCTGCATGGGAGACCGAAAAGAGGCTCCTGGCTTCTGGCTTCGGATCAGGACAACTTCAGCTATTATGGCCACTTGGGGAATCAATCAATAGATGGAAGCTCTTCTTCTTTGTCTCTCATCCTCTCTGTATTTCTGACTTTCCAATGAAAATAAAATAAATCTATAATATACAAAAATCGAGAATTTATACCCATGTCTCTATATAAGTGTTAATCTCATTTTTATCATTTGAGTCTTTCTTCCTGTCAGATACAGTCATGTCCTATTTTTTCCTTATTATTTCTATTAATGGGAACTCTAAAAATGTTTCATAAATGAAGGAAAGAAGAAATAAATACACGGATTTGAGACCAACCACCCTTACCTCCTTGTAGGGACTGAATTGAGGAAGCTGACTTAGCTTTCTTAACCAACACTGCAAATGGTAGATGAGAGGTCACTGATGTGAATGGAAACACAAAAAGGTGTAACAGTGAGTCATCTACCAGCATGGAGTTACAGACCAGGATGGGTGGGGACATGGGTCACCTTTCCTGACTATTGAAACCAGGGAGTTATAAAACCGCCTCCCTGCTGTTCCACTGCACTTCCATACTTGCTTTTCCTGTCTAGGCCTTTTACCTGCATCTTTTTAATCTGTTCATAAGCAAGGGTTTCTAGGTTAAAAACAGCAACAAAAAGTAGTTCATAATATGAGATTGCAAAGGAGGTAAACTGTGGCACTTTGAGTTGGAAATCCTTCATCAGAATCATAGGATCAAGAAAGTCTTTTTTTTTTTTAAGATTTATTTTATTTTTTCATTGGAAAGGCGAATATACAGAGAGGAGAGTCAGAGAGGAAGATCTTCCATCCCATGATTCACTCCCCAGGGGGCCGCAACGGCTGGAGCTGAGCCAATCCGAAGCCAGGAGCCTCTTCCGGGTCTCCCACGCGGGTGCAGGGTCCCAAAGTTTTGGGCCATCCTTGACTGCTTTCCCGGGCCACAGGCAGGGAGCTGGATGGGAAGCAGGACCACCGGGATTAGAACCGGCACCCATATGAGATCCCGGCATTTAACCACTGCGCCACCGCGCCAGGCCCTTTTTTTTTTTTTAAGATTTATTTAATTTTTATCGCAAAGCCCCAGATGTTGAGGACGGCCCAAAGCCTTGGGACCCTGCACCCATGTGGGAGACCTGGAAGACGCTCTTTGCTTCACATCAGCTCAGCTCTGGACATTGTGGCCACTTGGGGAGTGGACCAATACATGGAAGATCTTTCTGTCTCTCCTCCTCTCTGTAAATATGCCTTTCCAATAAAAATAAATAAATCTCTCTTTTTTATTTTTTTTATTTTATTTTTTTTTTAAATTTTTTTTTATTGGAAAGGCGGATATACAGAGAGGAGAGACAGAGAGGAAGATCTTCCATCCGATGATTCACTCCCCAAGTGAGCGCAACGGGCCGATACTATGCCGATCCGAAGCCAGGAGCCTCTTCCAGGTCTCCCACGCGGGTGCAGGTTCCCAAAGCCTTGGGCTGTCCTCGACTGCTTTCCCAGGCCACAGGCAGGGAGCTGGAAGGGAAGCGGGGCTGCCGGGATTAGAACCGGCGCCCATATGGGATCCCGGGCGTGCAAGGCGAGAACCTTTAACCACTTGCGCCACCGTGCCGGGCCCTAAATCTCTCTTTTTAAAAAAAAAATAAAAAGCATTTCATTTTTGAAATTACTATTGGTTCATAGGAAGTTGCAAAAATAGCGCAGAGAGGTTCCCTGTACCCTCAGCTAGGTTCCCCTCACTTGTGACATCTTTCACAACTGATGAAATGTCAGAACCACAGAGCAGATATACACTGCCGGCCTTCCACCCACACATGTGTGGCTCGGCCACCCCACTGCACGTGTGGAATCCCCCTCAATGAGGACACAGACATCATTATGTAAAGGTTCCCGTGCAATCCCTTGATCCCTTTAGGGTTCCACGAGTCTCCCCTCCCCCATGCTTGGGAATGTTTTCTACATAATCTTTATATTGGTATTTCTCATTACTCTGAAAGAGGTGCAGGCTCTCTTACTGAATCTTTTTACTATTTTGAGTTCCACTAGTTAGGGAGCCTTCTGTACCAACAACAGGAAACTCCTGAACCAGCGGCCTCTCAACAGAAATAATTCTTTTTTCCTATACTAAGCTACTTTGCAGAAAACGCATATTGGCCCTTTCTAGATAAGCCATGGGTATGGTACTCAAAACTGATAGGAGCTCAACAAATATTTATCAGGCAAGTCCACTGATTCAACAGGAAGGAATGCACTCCATCACCAGTTCCTGAGACAAAGGACAAACAGTTCATTTTTTCCCAGAGGGTAATTATTTTGAACTTAGTGAAGCTTACAGCATATGGAAAATCAAATCATCCATTGGTTCTCCTATGTACATTGCCTGAATTTATTACTCTACGCTGCAGACAAAGGTACAAACTAGACTGGAGCGCTGCCTAACCACGTGCACGGAGTCATCACCAGCCGAAGCAGTCCTCCTTTCCCAGCATCCACTGGATCGCTCTTCAGGACACTGTCTGCCTTCTGAAGGATAATGGGGCAGGTTGTGTGAGCAGTTAGTTGACAACAGCCAGTGCTTGGGAACTTCTCATGTCATCCATCTAAAAGTGTGAGATTTTGCTAACCTTTGTTTTACAATTGCGAAAACTAAGACTTAGAGAACTTGAATGTCTCACTTAAAGCCGTTCAACCAGTAAATGAAAGATGTGGGATCTGAACCCCCCTTTGGTGGGTTAGTGTTAGAGCCTCTCCGTCTCTGCCAACCAAATAAATAAATACATATAAATACATAAACTTTTTTAAAAGTAGACACTTTAAGAAAAAAGGCTGTCAGAGAAATTGTAACTCTAGGTATGAAGAAGTAAAAATGTGAATACAAAAAATATAACAAAGTTATAACTTGATCTAATGAAATGTTCTCAATAAAATCTAAACATTCTTCTGTGAGGAATGAATGTGATGTGTGAATTAACACTTAAAGTAGGCTTGTAAATACAAGCCAACAGTATACTGACTGGATTTGTTATTTCATTCACAAGAAGGGGAGAGAAGGACTGAAATCACATTTGATTTCGACACACCAAGCCAAACGACTAATAAACCGCCCACAAAGAATGAAACTGTTTTGAACTCGTCATTCTGCAAATACAAATTACAATATTCAGATATGTGTAAAATTGTGTAAGGTAGAAAGTACCTGACCTTTCATTGAAAGGAGGAGGAGCCAAGGATCCTGCCTGGGTTGGGACCCGCCTGCAAGCTGTCCCTGGGGAACTTCCTGTTGTCACCGCACCTCTGAGTGAGTTATCAGAGCTCCGCGGCAGCAAAGCCCGAGTGAGAACGCAGGCTCTGGGACGGAAATCACTCCTGCGAATGTGACAGGCGTTCTCTCCACTCTCCATATGCTGAGATTGTATCTATTCATCAGTTTGCTGTGCTTGGTGAGATCAGGTATGTTATTTATTGCATAACTTTCTTTACGATTTTTTTTTAAGTAGTAGTAATATCATTTTACATTTCTTTTTTTCATCCCAGTTCCCTTCAGCAGGGCTTTTTAAATTCCATACATTTTTTTAAAGGAAAGAGATGGTTGATTAAATGAACTTTCTAAACCTGAAAAAGTTTTTGACAGTAAAAGCTACTATTTGAATGAACTTCTTAGGTGTAAAAATTAAATAAGCTGAACAATGTAGAAGAGTGTTGTTTTCTTTCAGAAATATTTTGTGCTTTCCTACCTTCATGAAGTGAGATTACATATTTTCTAGAAATTAAATTTATGATGCCTAATGTAAAAAAAAGTTTAAAAAATGATGATGTCTCATACAGAGAGGGCAAGGACTCATACTCATGCATTGAGATTTACTTAAATTACTCTTACTTAAATTATTCTTACAGAGTGACATGATTTTGTGTCTAAAACCTTAGAATAGTGACTGGCATACTGGCATCTTAGAAATAATTAATCATAATAAAAAAAGGAAAAAATCATAGTGAAAAAATTAAAATTAAGGCACTAATGTACATAGTAAGGTAAGAAACATAAAATGATTTTTGTTTTTCAAAAATGCTGAATATTACTAAGTCTTTTTAGAACCCCAGCACTTATAATACGTTGTGGTAATGAAGACTGATGTTTGAGTAAAGGGCAAGGAGGAAATCTGTTATACATTAAGACTCATAAAAGCATTTATGCCCTTTGAGCTTATAAAGCCATCACTGGAAATTTACTCCAAACAACTTTAAAACGAGAGAGGCTGCGTACTCAGAGATAAGTCCATGTTATTTGTAATAAACTGAACTAGATATGAAAGGAGTGATCCCACATACAGCAATAGTAAAAATGCAGCACTATCAACTTAATTTTTAAAATAAGTTTAAAATAATTCTGCTGCTATACAGAAATGCGTTAATATGCTTTTATAAAAATGCAAAGTAGAAAAATTAGAATCCAAATTTACACACACAGGTAAACCATGATTACAGCCATGTTAAAATCATATATGCCTGTAAACGAAGCTTAGGAAAGAAATGGAAAAAAAAAATTAGGATTTCAACCTACAAATAAGTTTTCTTAGTATTTATTTCTGAGCTTGATTAACCAGTAAGTTAAAACATGTCTATGGAAATGGGAAATCAATATTCTAAAGTATCCTTCTTATTACTCTTAATTTAAATAATGAACACGAACTGACAGGTTATGTCAGGAGGCTAGAGGCCAGCCCTATACAAAATCCCAGCGCTGGTTATTGAACATTTTCTCCATCTCCCATTCTCTATCATTATTCAGTTAGTTGGAATAAAGACACATTTTTCTGTATCACCCTCGTGCTTTCTTCTGTTTTTACTGAAAATCTCCTTAGGAGAAAATTTTTTATGTTTTTTTTTGAAAAAAATTATGTTTTATTCATTTGAAAAAGCAAAGTTTAAAGGGAGAATGGAAAGGGTAAGAAAGGGAAAAAAATCAGAGAGAGGTATTTTCCAATTTCTGGTTTACTCCCCAAATGCCCGACATGGCCTGGGATGGGTCAGGCTGAAGCCTGGAGCCCGGGTCAGCCCATGGGAGTGGCAGGAGGCCATCGTCTGCGCCCTTCACAGATGCGTTAGCCGGGGAACTGAAGGAGTAAGGACTCCAACTGTGGTCTTTCTTTTTTTCTTAACATGTATTTATTTTTATTAGAAAGTCAGACTTACAGAGAGAAGGAAAAATAGAAAGACAGATCCTCCATTCTCTGGTTCACTCCCCAAGTAGCCGCAACAGCCGGAGCTTGGCCAATCCAAAGCCAGGAGCCAGGAGATTCTTCCCAGTCTCCCACAGAGGTACAGGGTCCCAAGGCGTTGGGCCATCCTCGACTGCTTTCCCAGGCCATAAGCAGGGCGCTAAAGAGAAAGTGTAGCAGCTGGGAAATGCACAGGTGCCCATATGGAATTCCGATGCATGCAAGGCAAGGATTTAGGCACTAGGCTATTGCGTTGGCCCCTAACCGGTGTTCTAATGGGATGCTGGTGTCACAGGTGGCTGTTTAAGCTAGTGAACCAGGACGCTGAACCCTACAGTCTAGTTTTGAATGATTCTAGATTGCTGTCAGTGCCAAACAATGGACTCTAGGTGGAGGCACACGATATAGTTCTGTAGCCAGGAGGAAAAAAAAACCCCACATAATTATGGCTGTAAACCTAATCTAGATTTCCCATTATCTAGAAAACCATGAACTTAGAACTTGTATAACAGAAGGATGTTGAATAATAAGCAGCTGATAGAAAGCAAATACAATGATATTTTATTTCTCCCTTGTTTGCCTTCCTGTCCCTAAATTAGCAAGTGTTAAGGTGGTGTTCAGAAATTCCAAGAAGTCCTCTAGTTTCAGAGATCTTTTGTTGTCCTAATCTTGTGAAGTTATGTTAGGAATGTTGGCCACAATTTTACCAGTGAATAAAGCAATGTCCTGAGCAGTCTAAAGTGTACTAGAACCACCTGGTGGAGAAGGGAGAGGGAGTGTAATAAGGAGGGGGGATGGTAAAAATGTAGAATTGTTCCATACCACATTCCCAGGCTCCGGGAGTCCTGGCATTTTTAACAAATCCTCAGTGTTTTCCAGTTGCAGCTGGTCTAAGAAATACGGGCTGGTACATATTATTCTAAATTCAGGACTCTTGTCATTAATAGTTTTAAAGGTGCACCTGCTACTTGATGCCAAGGAGTAGCTCTTCTCCTCTCTCCTCCCCTACAGACACAGGAGAAAAAAAGACTGAAACATGTGTCCCATCCACCTCCTCCACACCTGACCCTTCTCACCCTAATCAGAGGCCCACACGGGTGTGCATCGTTCTCAATTATGTAAACAATATTAAAGATACACTTTTTGTAAAAGTCCCATGCTATCATAGTTTAGCCCGAGGCAACTGTATCAAATTAAGTAGTATTTTCCCCAGAGAAAACAGCTTACACTAATTCCCACTTTGTCTGGTGACTCAATTTCATCCAATTTCACCTCAGATGCCTGAAACTGCGCACAGTACCAAACCCAGTACATATTATGTTTTATTCTTACAATAATTTATGAATTAGGCTTGGTCAAAGATGAGCAACGAAGACATGAGACAGAATAAGTATAAAAATGTACAATAATAGAAGTTTCATGAGTGTGGTCTCATTTTCAATAGGTCTCATCCTACAATATTTTACCTTTGGGTCTCAGATGTCAAGGATAACGGGAACCGCAGGGGGCCGCCAGGGACTACTGCAGTAGCAGAAACCAGAGATTCTTTTCTAGGATACTGAAAATCCTCTGGCATGATCTGTGTAGGTGTGTATGACTCATCTTTCCCCAACAGGTAGGCAAAGATGAGTGAGGAGGCGTGAAGGTGTGTATTTACACACAGGATTAGGAAAGGACAGTGAGAACAGCTGACATCTAAAAGGTTTTCTCAGACAGTTAGGGGTTAAAAACAGACATCTTGTCCATCAAGATGGCCTTCTGCCTTCTGGCCATAGGTATCTTTATTTTTTTCCTGGTCCCAATATTGTGCACAATGTTTCTTAATTTTTAACATGTAATATTCAAACATATTTATAGAGCAGTGTGATTTCATTTTTGTTTTTTTAAGATTTTTTTGTGGGGAGGGGCAGAATGATGGCTTCATCTTCTACCTTCAAGCGCCAGCATCCCATATGGATGCCAGTTCATGTCCGAGCTGCTCCATTTTTCATGTAGCTGCCTGTTTGTGGCCTGGGAGAGCAGCGGAGAATGGCCCAAAACCTTGAAACCATGTACCCATATGGGAGACTCAAGGAGGCTCCTGGTTTCAGATTCACTCAGCTCTGGCCGTTGTGGCCATTTAAGGAGTGAACCAGCGGATGGAAGATCTTTCTGTCTCTCCATGTCTCCGTAAATCTGATCTGCTTTTCCAATAAAAATAATTTTTAAAAAAGATTCTCTCTTTTTTTTAATTTGAAAGGCAGAATTACAGAAAGAGGAAGAGAGGCAGAGAGAGAGCTCTTCCATCTGCTAATTCACTCCCAAAATGGCCACAACAACTGGGGTTGGGTCAGGCCAAAACCAGGCGCAAGACGCCTCTTCTGGTCTTCCCTGTGTATACAAGGGTCCAAGCACTTGGATCATTTCTGTTGTTTCCCAGGTGTATTAGCAGGGAACTGGATCAGAAGTGGAGCAGCCAGATCTCCAATCAGTGCCAATATGGATTCTGGCATCACATGCTGAGGCTTAACTTGTTACGGGCTACACTACAATGCCGACCTTTGTGATATTTCAATATGTGTATACAATGTGTACCGATCATATGAGGGTAATTAGCACTTCTGTGTACATATCATTTTTGTTGGGAGCTATGGAACTCCTCTCTTCTGGTTTGGCCAGGACATGATGGGGTTAGTACGTGCTGCAGTCATCCCTGTACTGTAGAACACTAGAACTTACTCTGCGTGTGTTCTGGAACCAGCTATCCAACCTTCTTCTGTCTCAGTACCCAGCCCTCTCCCACCTCCACCCACAGGCATCCTGCCTGACTGCCCAGCTTCCCTGGTTGGCTGAGATCCTTTCCTAGTCTGACGGCTCAGGACACATTCTTTGCACGAAATTCAATGGGACACACACAGAATATAAATGGAATTATTTTTCAGATTTAAAAGTTTTTGTAGAATTTCATGGCAGTGACATTACTCTCTCTTTTCAGATTAAGCATCCAACTTTTTTTTTCCTAGTACCTGCCACGCAAATTTTCACCTAAAACCTGAAAATCTCTTACTTTTATTTCTTGGATTTTGGGAAATTTTATCTCGACTGTGTTTCCCAACACACACTAAAGTGTACTCAAGCAGGGGTTGCTGGAAGTATTCAGGCTGCACAGTTCACACGCAGTATATTTGTATCCCAGAACATGAGTCAGAGGCATTCCTGAGCAGGCAGAATTCTTGCAGGTCTATCTCTTGATCT